GAAAAGCATCCTTTTTTTAATGTTACTATCATTTAAAACAGCATAGGGCAACTTTACTTCAAAGGAGACATAAAACCAGGAAATAAGAGTTATCAAAATCATATTAAATACAAACATAAGCATACAAAATACCAGCTGGATGCAAAAACAAAAAACCAGCTAAAACATTACAGTATATTGCACCAGTAGAAAGGGCAAAAAAACCCCAAAAGACAATAAGCAACGTGTGATAACTGGACTCCCCTATAGCTGATTAACATGATGAAGCACAACACAGCAGCATCGCTGTTTGTTAATGCTACACACACCATTGAATGCACGACGACAATAGCGAGGGCGTAGGAGTCAAAATTGCAGCTCCATTATGCTATGTAACAACTGGACCAGTGTCTCTTTGGGCATATGGCTTGTGATGGTGGTAATTAGGGCACAGCAGATGCTCGAACCTTCATTTAAGGGCATTGTGGAGCTGGGAATTAGGGAACAAATTGTGGGGGTGGGGGGGGGTTAATACTTCACAAATTAAACTTACTAATGATGTGTTCTTTATCAGCATGGATTCCAGTTCAGAGTGGAAAATTACCTTTTTACTTTACCCCCCCAGTCAGTGTGACCAACATAACTGGGTTTGCCAGCATGCTTTGAAAGGCACGTGACCCCGACAAACTGTACAGCTATACTAATATTTAAAAAAAAAAAACAACTAGGCACCAGACTGGGGGCTGGTGTTACCTTCCCACTCTGCCGTCTTCCATACTGTTTATATAATATTTACTTGTGTGTATGTGCTTGTGTGCGTGTCTGTTTACAGCTCTGAAAAAGGGGCTTGGCTATATATTTACAATGGCGCCCACACATGCCACAGAATCCACCTGGCAAACACTTGGGACAGTCTCATTTGCACGAGCAAACACAAAAGAAACTCCAGGTTTTGTTTGTAGCAGCTTGATGCTTTCGGAAGCATTGTTCACAGTACAATCCGACGGCCCCCGATCCTCTTACCAACCCACCACCTCACACACATCCTCTGAAATGAGCACTCGAATGATAATAGCAAGCTAGGATTGATTCAGAACAGGTGGTTTAGTGTTCAACATAATTCCCCATGATCACTTTTGATCAAAACACACATGGAGCAGAGAGGTAAGCGATGGAAAGTGATGATTCACAGTAAATGGAGATTGTAGTGTGTGCGGCGGCCTTTAGGACGCCAATCCCAAAAAGAAGCCGCCGACGAACCCGCTGGACAGGACGATGTTCCTCTTTATGAAATCTGTGGCCTGCAGAGGAGAGACGAGGGAAAAGGCAAATCAGAACTAACAAACAAAACAGACCCCAGCACCTCGAAACATCTGATTTGGTTTGCCTTGAGCCTGCAGTGTCACAGCTACTAGGTGTAGTAGCTTGACGAGTACACTAGAGGGCACTGCTGGCTTGGGAATTGACCCCAATACATGCCCCCCCCCATATTGAAATAATACAAATTACAGGAAGATTGCATTTAGCTTGAGCAGAAAACCAAGCAAGAAATAAAGAAAGAGCAAGCTTCGTTCCAGGTACCTTTACCTCCTCAATGAATGTGTTGATTTCTGGGGCTGCTTTGTTTGCCTTCTTCTTCAGGTGCTTCTTTGCTTTGTTCACATCCTTCTCCACCTTCTTCCAGTCCACCTGCACGTAGCCACTGTGATTGGCAATCTGCAGAAACAGACAACAAAACAAAACTGATGAGCGTTACTTTGTCCTTCTTCATATTTGCCTCAGCTCTGCACTCTGAAGGACAGAATGCCTTTCTGGAAGCATGTGTCCACAGTAGGCCTCTGACATCATCTTAAAAAAATATTTTGTGTGTTCAGCCTGATAATCAAGTCACCTGGGTGTCCGGGCTTTTAATCTACTTGCAAAATGAAGAATGCTTTTAAGCGACAAAATAATGCTACTGACGGAGCTGAAGCACCCTGTAAGTGTCCAGATGGCCTGTGTCCATTTAGTGCCAGCTGACACACAATGCTCGCCTTTCTGTGGTGGAGAGGGGGGACCAGCTGAGTGTCATGTCGTACAGCTGGCGTCTTCACTTGTCAATGGAGTTATGTTAATCTTACAAAGCACGTACTTCTCTATGACTCTTGGTGGAGAATTGCTAAATATTTAACGACTAAGCCTAAACAATCACAGCATTACGGAGCTCTTACCTGTAAAAGAAGAAACCCGCCACCAATAGCAGTAGCTGCTATCTTCCCAACTCTCTGGAAGACATAACCTGCACACCTGTAAGTGTTAAGAGAAAGGGTGGGTTACTTCCTTTAAAATATTTAAAGGGGAATCAATTGTGTCAGTTTTCCCTGGGCCTGATTCATACTTGAAAACAGTCATTATGTGTCTTTTCCTCATAGTAGCCATCCCTCAAGACTTTCTCCATTTGAAGGAATGCATCATCAGGGACTGCAACATCTAGTCCTTTTACTGAATCTAA